AGCCATTGATGAGCCGAACACATAGCAGCCCTGCTATACGGCGGCAGAATATCGGCGAACCACTTTTCCGGGCTCTCAACTAGTACCAGTGCTGCTAAGTCTTGTGCAGTTTCTTTATTCCCGAATAATTTTCAGCGTGATCGGCCAGTACATTAACTTTTAGCAATATCAGTCTACAAGGTGCACGTTTCTCGCGTAAGGAAAATCATATATTCCTCTATGCCTTTAATAAGATAACACATAGTTATTAAAATTTTGTAATGGATCCGGAATGCATTGTGCATTTCATGAGGAACATTAGTAAATGGCCATGTGCGGTCTTGCATGCATGGTCATCGCGCGATCTTAAAAATCTCATAAGTAGAAACCTTTTTAAAATCTAAATTTACACTTTCTTCGGGCATAAAATATGCAGACAATGTGATTTCCCACCAAATGCTGCCAATTATTATACAATGAATGGCCGATCTCGCGAAATGTAGGCCGAAGTTCTGGAGTACATTTCCCATTAGGAAGGATTACTTTAGTGGGGTTGTTGTACTGATTATCATGCAGCACAACCATATGACATTTCGGACTCGCCAGGATGTCGGCTTTTGGAAGCACTCCTTTTTGACCTGTAGAAACCACACTCGGTATAAAATGACCACTTAAGAAGCATGCATTTTTCCTATTGATTTTCGATAGTCCTATAAATTCAAATATATTTTACAGAAAGCATATACAAAATATGCCTTCTTTTGCTCATTTGGTAGGAAATCACATTGTCTCCATATTTTATGCCTGAAGAAAGTGCATGTTTACTTTTTAAAAAGTTTCATGACTGGAAATTTCCAGTCTGATCTGCCATTGCATCAGCGTTTAGCAATTTCAGTCTGCATGGTGTAAGTTTTTCGCGTAAGGAAAATCATATATCCCTCTATGCCTTTAAGAAAATACCACCTAGAGTTCATGAAATTTTGTAATGGATCCAAACTGTGTTGTACATTTCATGAGGAGCATTAGTAAACGGACATGTGCGATCTTGCATGCATGGACATGGCACGATCTTAAAAATCTCATGATTAGAAACTTTTTTAAAACCTAAGTACACACTTTCTTTGGACATAAAATATGGAGACAATGTGATTTCCTACCAAATGATCAAAAGAAAGCATATTTTGTGCATGTTTTCTATAAAATGTATTTGAATCCATAGGACGATCGAAAATCATTAGGAAAAATGCATGCTTCTTTAGTGCTCACTTTTTACCGAGTGTGGTTTCTACAGGAGGTCAAAAATAAGTGCATTCAAAAGCCGACATCCTGGCAAGCCCGAAATGTTAAAGCGTTATGCTGCATGATAATCACTAACAATCCCACTGAAGTAATCCTTCCTGATCGGAAACGCATTCCAGAATTTTGGCCAACATTTCATGTGATCGGTCAAGCACCGTATACTCCCTCGAGTATAAAACATGAAGATGACGTGAGTTTTTATCAAACGAGTGAGAAAAACATATTTTGTTCATTTTTTATAAAATATCTACGAATTTAAAAGACCATAGAAAATCAGTGTGAAAAATGCTTGCTTCCTAAGTAGTCATTTTTGACCGAGTGCGCTTTCTAAGGGGAATGAAAAGAAGTGCATTCGAAAGCCGGACAGCCTGTCTATTCCGAAATATTATTGGATTTTGCCGATAGAAGATCGGTATTAGAACTCACATAAGTGATCCTTACTAATAGGAAACGTATTTCATGAGATCGGTCACCCACTCTCCTGCTATCTCATCGAATGCATGTTTCCGCAGAGGCGAATTTAATTTGAAAATTATTATTTAAATGAACCGTATTTTCACTACTGTTTTATATCGATAGTCTATTGGTCGAAAATCGTAATTTTGAGTGCCCACATTTATTAGAGATAGTGTTGGACGCAACAGCAATACGACTCCTCAATGCTGCTTCTACTTTCTTCAAAAAATAATAACCTATGAAAGGGTTTTGACTGAAAAGTAACACAACTGGCCGCCATCGCCGAAGCCGCCATCGCCCGCTTGCCGCAAGTGGCGACCAACGCGGACCTCGACCTCCCGCCATCTCTCCAGGAAACCATCAGGGCCGTGCAGCAGCTCTCCAGCGGGAAAGCACCCGGATCGGACGCAATCCCTGCTGAGGTCTACAAGCACGGAGGTCCCCTACTGATGGATCACCTGACTGCGCTCTTCCAGGAGATGTGGCGTCAAGGTGAAGTCCCGCAAGATTTCAAGGACGCAACTATCGTGCACCTATACAAGCG